TTGCTTGCATTGCTGTTTTTCTAGTGGTGAGAAGCTAAGATGTCATCCAACATCTAAATGAAACATAACTAATGCTAAACTTAGTCCTTTCATCCCTCATGGATCTGTCTCCAGTTTTCCTTCTGAGAGACTGGGTCACCTAAGCCCTCCACACTCAGAGAAGCCTGTTCCCATAGAGCCTGAAAAGGACCATGGCGACTGATAACTTCCATTTCCAGACAAGAAACTATGGTGCAGAGCTGTGGTTGGAAGCTGGGACAAGATATGAAGACGCCAAGTCGGAGAGCTCTTTCCCATTAATCCAGCATTGCCACTCAATCACCAGGGAGCTGCAGGACAGAGTGAGGCAGAAAATATCTGCAATGGCACCTCAGAAGCTTCCCCTAGGTGTTCTTTCATTCTGTGGGTGTGCTTCATCCTTCCTTTCTACGGGGGAATGAAGAAGCCTCGTGGTGGTAACTGGATCCATCACATTTCAGACTCATTACGAGACTCGGGACCCAGATCTTGTGTATAGGGAAATTCTGACAGCATCTACCAGGAAGGTGATCTGACTCTGAGGAGCCCCTGGGGTAGGAAGCCAGGTGTAGAAGTCACATTTACTTTCTCTCCTCTCCCTAGACATCTTCCTTTGGGCTTTTGAAAGCTGTGTCTCCCTGATGAAGCAATCCTGTGTGGACAAAGGCCAAAATAGTCTCCTCTCTTTGCTGTTACTCTTTTTTAAAAAACCCACTAAATTCTATCTTTAAAACAACAACTAAACAGAAACAGTCTTCCAACTTTGAGTTTCCAGGTTGCCAAGAGATGTCAGAGTTATCATCCCCACAGAGTCCCTGGAGCTGCATAAGGGAGAGCTGTGATGCTGCAGCTCCATGCTTCCAGCCTGGCAGGCCCCTCATGATGAGGAAGACCTGCTCTTGGAGCAGTGATACCATGGAGCAATCTCCAGAAACACAGCCTTTGTTCAAGAGGCACAGTCCCTGGTGCAGACTTTCCAGGTTTGCACCCAATGACTAGAGACCTTGGCTCTCACTCAAACAATTTGGTATGTCAAAACTGAAGCTAGTAGAGAAGCCCATACAGCAAAGTCTATTGTTTATTATTATTATTATTATTATTATTACTTGTTCTTTTTGCCCCAAGCCTGACACCCAGTCAGCCTTCAGGCTCCACTCTGCTTATATAGACATGTGGCTTAATGATTCCAACTGATGTGCTTTAAATTCTCACGTGGAAACAAAGCTGCTGGCCAAGGACCAGTCCTGAGTCTTCCCCTCTGCAGATCCCTTGTAAGCTGACTGACTCACACCTCCTTGAAGGAAGAAATTCACTACTTACTAGTTATATAAACTCTGGGGTTCGTTTCTTCATCAGCAAGCTGCAGGAAATTTTAGAACACCCTTACAGGATAATTAAATAAATATGGATGAAATTAAATGTGTGTTGATAGAATGAATGAAATGATTAAATGAATTAATATATGTAAAGTATAAAATAAGTCAATTAATATTATATGTACTCAGCACAGTGCCAAGTAAAACTGTCACAGTTATTTTCTGTCTACTCCACATAGATCTACACATATCTGGAAAGAGGGAATCCCATTCAAAGCACTCTTCCCATCGTGGCCTGAGACACATTTGAGGGGTATTTTCTTGAGTGATGTGAAAGGGCCTCTCTTACCGTGAATAATCCCATCTTGGGTTGTATAAGAAAGGCAGCTGAGCAAGCCAAGGAGGCAGCATTCGGCATGGGTTGTGTGTGCTTCAGTTCCTGCTTCTAGGTTCCTTCCTGGTGGACTAGGAGCATCATATATAAGCTTAACAAACCTTTTCTTCCCCTCAGTTGGCTTTGGTCGGTGTTTAGAGCAACAGACACAAAAAATAGAACACAAGCTTAGGTACTATTAGTATACTGCATGACCCTGCTGTTTACCTCAGGCAAAGTCAGTCAGACCAGTTTTGAGCATCTGGGTTTAGGGTATAATTTAGAGGGAGCAGCAATTCATGATTTTGCTCCCACTAAATGCCTCCTGGCCCAATCATCTTTTCTTGGAATCTGAGGTGAGACATGCTGAGGGGAGGTGATGAGGAGAAACAGAAGGTAAAAGTTGAGATAGAGGGAAATCTCCGGGTATGGAAGAGCCCATGAGCAAGGGCCACTTGGTTACAAGATAGACAAAAGTACACAGAGTGGGAACGGTGCTTTGTGGTGGGAATCCAGTGGATTAGGGCAGAGAGGTAAGCCACCGTAGGAGCTTCGCTCAGGAGAAGACCCACAAGCCCTGTTGGTTCTGAGCAAAGCGCAGCTCTGGACGGTCTGCTCTTTCCATGTCTTCTGCTTTGCCCCGGGCCGGGCCTTTCTGAGGTTTCTCAGGGTAAACATCCCCACCTGCTGTCTGAGGTACACCCACTGGCTCTCTTTTCCTTGTAACCAAATTACAGAAAGAAAAAGAAATCAGGAAGAAGAGGAGGGTGGAGAGAGGAGAG